GGAGGTCGCGTGCGCTCGGCGTTGGAGGGCCCACGCGTGTCCCTAGCCGGTGATCGTGTGCCCCACCGACGGTGGGGCTTCGAACCGCGGTGACTATGCATCAGATTCGGCACTGGTGCTCAGATCCGGCGGTGGGAGGTCGAGGACCGAGCTCCGGAGGCTGTGTCCGCGCACACCTGACAGTGGGGTGGTGGAGGCGTGCGCCAGGTGGTGGAGGGCCCACGCACCCCGTCGGCGGCGGGGCTTTGATCCGCTTGTCTCGGTGGCGGAGGCTTCGATCCTCGGCAGCTAAGCATCGGATCCGGCGTTGGGTGCTCATATCCGACGGTGAGAGGCCAGGCGGTGCCTGCAGATCTTGGCGTGGATGTCGTGGATGTGCTCGGCAGGCATGTCGATGGGTTTTTCTTTTTTTTCTAATTGATTTATGCAGGTGGGCAACAGGACAGCCCGTGTTAACAGCAATTAAAATAGGCAGGCTATAGGACCATCTGCATTAATGCTCATTATCGTAGGCCTTTCAGTTTCGGCACAGGCGGACAGGATGCCCGCCTACGAAAATCCTTTTTGACAGCCTATGTTGTTTTTAATGCAGTAGTGGGTGGTGGAGAAAGACCCTTCAACCCTTGTGTTTATGCCTGTTGTTTAGTTGGGAATATTCCAGCGTATTCTGCAGTAGGTGGAGAGCTAGCATTCTTGTATAATGAGAAGGGGACTCGAATATCAATGTAGTGAGAACATATCATTTGGCTCGATTTTAAAAAGCACATTGCCTCGTAATCGTGCTCGGCCTGGCGAAGGTCAGACCTTCGAGCGCGTTGCCTTCGGCCGGCCGCGGATCCTGCCCATCCCCTATTCTCTGTCGGGATTCTTTTGTCCCAACAGTGGTCGACGAGCTGATGGCACATGGCAGCAATGCAAGCAGCGGGCCGTCAACATGGTTCGCTGCGTCGATGGGTCAATAATGGACCGGAGAGCATAATCGAGTCTGTCCAATGCATGGCTTTTTTGGTTGTCTTCTTCGTTCGGATATGCAAACTTTCGTTTGTACCCACTGTTTGAAAATCCAGACAAAACTATGTTGTAGATGATATCCCAACTTTCTAAGAGCAAGATGTCATAAAGGACTCGATGCACAAGGACAAATGCAGTGGAACACACCAGAAGGACAATATGAATGTCAATATTTAATATCTTTTTTATCGGATACGGATATGGATCGTCCTAATATGACTGGATAATAATACAAATAGGATAGTTTAAATTCGGATATACATTTAAAGTTGTTGCCTATAAATATTCACAATGATTTAAAAAAATCATATAATAAGAAATCCAAATATAAGTATTTAAACTCTATACATATAAACAATATAAAAAATGAAAAATTTAGGCATATTAAGTCTACAAATTATAAATCATCGATCATATTAATTAGGATTAAGTCAACTTTTGACCCCTCAACTATTGTGTCGGTCTAATTTTAACCCTCAACTACAAAATTGTCTAGTACCGGTACCCCAACTGTCAAAACCGTTTACTTTTAGTACCTGGGCGGGGGAAGGCTGTTTTGACCGACGTTGAGGGGTTTTGACACGCAACCTCCGTCTCAGTGACATGTGGGGCCCACGCGTCATCGACTTAATCCCTCCCTCTCCATCCTCACGGCCATGGCTCGCCGGCAACAGGCCAGCTGTGCTGCTCGCGCGTCACGCTGGTCGTGCTGCTCGAGCGCCACCGCCCTGCTCGCGCACCGCCCGTAGCCTGCTCGAGCGTCGTCGCCCTGCTCGCGTGCCGCCGCTGCAACTTGGCATCGGCGCCTTGGCTGGACGTGGGCACGTCTGGCTCGAGGAGCAGCCCGTGAGCCTGTGGCCGGCGGCGACATGCCCGCCTTACCGTGTCTCGGCAGACGCATCCCGGTGACGCCACAGCAGCCCCCATGCGCGAGCCTGGGAGTGGCTCGGCTGGCCCCACGGCATGTATGCCCGACAGCCTTGGCGCGCTCGGCGTGGTGCCGCGGCTGGTCCACGTGCTCAGGGTCGAGTCCATTGGCGCGTAGCAGGCTGCTAGGACCGCCGAGCCCTGGATCAACTCCAACGGCCTCATGAACTAACTATGACAAATGCAGGCACAGCACGGGCACAGGCAGCAGCACCGTGCGGCAGCGGCACTGCTCGTCACAGCACGGGCGCAACACCAGCACATCGACGACACAGCACCATGACGGCTCCGGGACCGCCGAGAGGAGTGGAGGCCAGCGCCGCCACGTTGCTCGCGCCGGGACCGCCTGCCGCGTGAGGGTCAGCGCTACCGTGTCGGAGGGAGCAGCGCCCGCGAGGGAGCAGCGCCCGCCTCGCGCGCGCGGAGAGAGGACGCGTCGGGGGAGTGGCCGTGAGGATGGAGAGGGAGGGGTTGAGTCGATGACGCGTGGGCCCCACATGTCACTGAGATGGAGGTTGTGTGTCAAAACCGCTCCACGTTGGACAAAACAGTCTCACCCACGTCCAGGTGTTAAAAGTGAACGGTTTTGAGGTACAAGACAATTTTGTAGTTGAGGGATAAAATTAGACCAACACAATAGTTGAGGGGCTAAAAGTTGACTTAATCCTATTAATTATGTATGAGTCACTAGTATTTTACAGATAAAACATGAGCTATTAATTACTTGTACACACTTTTAAATAGTTTCAACTTTTAAAAGCTAACTGTGAACTATTAATAACTATATTAAGTTCTGTTCTGAAGACCAGTACTCTGAACATCATTAGACTGCACATCACTCCACTTGATTCTATTAAAGACTGAGGGTTTCAGAAAGACCAAATGGTTAAACAATGAAACTTTGCCTGAGGAAGACCCAATCTTAGCACTCCAATGAGAACCAGCATCCACTGGAATACCATTGGCGGCCAGTAAGAACTGAAGGAGTACGTCTGACCATGTTCGCATAAGACAAATTCTTCTTATATTTCACCTCTTGCCAAGAAAACTTCTGAGCAGTTCTTGAATCAGACAAAGAACAGGCAAAAGCTAACGAGACCAACATCATTGAAAAGATGAAAAGAGAGCTTGAAATCGTCACAAATTAGGTCTCTGATCTTATAAACCTCAAATCCCACAGCTTTACAGGAAACACTTTTTTTTTTTTTTTGAAACCAGCCGGGGGGGAGAGCTTCCCCACCAAATTTCATTCAAAGCTCCACAACGTGGAGGCAACAGAAGTGTTACAAGAGAGGAGGTAGCGTCGCCAATTGTTCAGGCTAGTTACATCCTGATCATGTTTAAAACGTTTACGCCAAATTACAAGGTCATTGCAGACGACCTTAGAGACAATAGAGCGACTAGAGGGGACTCATTCCGGAAAATTTCACCATTCCTAGCGTCCCACAACCGCCATAGGAGAGTCTGCAGGATGAAAGGCCAAAGCTTCACGTCCAGGTGAGGGGGAGTGCTAGCATTCCATATGTCAACATCGGAGAGGGTTGCAACATTGCTGAGCTTGAGCCTGTTCCAGAACCCAGCACTGATTGGACACCCGAGGAAGACATGATACCGATGTTGACACTGAAGAGAAAAATTGTCCTCAGTCAAACCAACTTTGAAAGAATATGAAGAAGTCCCCAAGAGCGAGAAGAAAGTGTCGGCAACAAAAGGAACATCCTAGCAAAAGTGTCACCTTCCAAATGCAACCAGCAACGAGAACTCATCTTCAGATTGAGGGTCTGCAGCCATAGAGTTGCAGTATTTGCCTCGGATGAAGGTGGCAAAGGCAGAGCCCACCGCCAAAGCAGAGAAGAGGGGCATACCAGGGAGAAGCAGAGGGGGCATCACCAGTGGGGAGGAAGAGAGAGGGCAGGCCGGCCACCGGAGCGGCATGGCGGAGCTGCGGCCACCCAGCGGTGACGCGAGCGTCGACGACATGGCCTCTTTCCTAGCTATACCTAATATTAAAGATCCTATTGGTATTTATTAGGGTTTCGGTTATGCTTTCTAAAAACTTGTACTCTAAACTATGGTCTGTAATTTAACTGAACAAAACATATGCAAGAAAGTAATCTATCTATATGTGCAACTAAGATTTTGCTAAATGTGTTGATATCTCTGCTACTAAAGAGTTATGCAAAGGTTCCAATCCTATTACTAGTCTAAAAAGCTAAACAAGGAATGTAAAGCACACAACCTAAGTAACAAAGTAAACACGAAAGCAAAAGGGTAGAGAATGCAAGCTCTTGTTCGTCGACGATGATTATACCCTAGGTATCGAGAAAATCTAGTCCTCGTTGGAGTCCATGGTAAGGATGCCCTTACAAGGGCCAAGATCCACTGGTCGAGTAACTTCGTGAAGCCGGCGGGCCTTCCCCACATGCAGTGGGTCTCCGCTAGGCATTCTCCCAAATTGCTATCCGCCGTTTTTACTATATATCGAGCTTCTAGTCAAATCGTCATCGGCATACTACAAACGCGAATGGGGTGATCTGGCAAAACTACAAGCTCCTAGGAGTACAACACAATGGTACACACAAACACCAAGTGGCAAGAGGTGTGGTAATAAAATATGTCAGGCTTATAAAGTTACAAAATAAAAAGATTTACCACATCCAATATATCACGCATGCATTAATTAGATGTAGAAAAAAGATTCTTATACCTAGAATTTTCCTTATCAATCCTATTTTACAAAATTTAAAATTAAATAAATATATTTCACCTATTAATAAGTAATAGATGATCATAACCATCTGATCTAGTTAAATGAACATGTCACAGTTATTTAGGAGTACTATAGTAAAGCCCTTATAAGAAATCTATAGATGATAAAACTAATTTTATCACACTATAAATTCAATTATCAGGGAGGAGTCGTGTGAGGCTCTGAGCAAAATTCAGAAAGCATGACTTCATTTGATAATCTTTGGTTTTATAAATTTGGAGTAGAAATCCTATGTTCAATTGTGCACATATAGCTAACATAAAATATTTCGAGAACATCTGAAGTGCAGAAACTAAAATATCTCCGGCGGGAGATTAACGGAGACTCGCCCTTCGAGCATATCCACAACATCTTGCATCCTGGGCCTCTTGTCCGGCTGTTCCTGGATGCAGCAGAGCGCCACCTCCACCACAGTCTTCACCTCCTCCTCGTCCACACCATCATGCGCCATGGCCGTGTCCACCGCCTTCAGGAGCTCGCCTCGCGTCATTATATCCCTCACGATATACGGGAAGTAGTCCTGCTTGAGGTCCGGCGTGGCTGATGATGAAGCATCGTCTGCTGACGGGACCGGCGGGGCAACGTAGTTCGGGCGCCCGCCGACGAGCTCGAGAAGCGTCTTGCCGTAGCTGAACACATCGGACCTGTCGGACACCGAGTTGACGAGCATCTCCGGCGCCATGTACCCTAACGTGCCCCTCCCGCGCGTGTTGATGACGCTGTTGAGGCCCCGGGTGATGGACAGGGAGATGCCGAAGTCGGAGACGTGAGCGCGGAGGTCGCCGTCGAGCAGGATGTTGCCCGGCTTGACGTCGAGGTGCAGGATCCGCCGGTGGCACTCGTTGTGGAGGTACGCGAGCGCCCTGGCGACGTCGACGGCGGTGCAGAACCTCTTGGGCCACGTCATGAGGCGCCTCTGCTCCTCAGTTCTGTGGAAGAGCCACTTGTCCAGCGACCCGTTCTCGAAGAAGGGGTAGACCAGGTAGAGGCCTCCCCCGCCGTGCTGGAGGCAGTAGCCGAGGAGGCGCACCAGGCTGCGGTGGTGCACGTTGGCGATGGTGGACAGCTCTCTCCGGAAGTCCTCGCTGGCCACGGTGCGCCCACCGTGGTTGTTGATCCGCTTGACGGCGACGGCCGTGCCGTCGTCGAGGTTCCCTCGGAAGACCTGGGCGGAGCCGCCTCGGCCTATCATGCTCCCGAAGTCCTGCGTCATGGCCTGGATTTCATCGCTCGAGAATTCCCGCAGCACCTCCTGGATGCCGCCAAACGGAGTTTGGAGTTGAAGCACCGCTTGTTGATGGCGTGCCGGTTTGCGTGGCGGCAGTTGGCACCGCGTCGTCGTCAGCATCGAGAAAGCAAGTTCGGAGCCAAGGGTAAATCTCGAAGAGAATCAAGACATAGTAGTACACGGATATAGCCATGATATTGGCCCAGAAAATGAAGGAGGGGCGACGATATTTGTTTGAAAATGAGGAGACGAGGAAAGAAAGCAGAACAAGTATAAGAAATCCAGTGGAGAGAATAATCTTCTCCTTCCGACCGGAGGAGAGGTGTAGATGTATAGGCAACCAATGGCATTGTAGGCTACTAACTGAATGAGCAGCCATACCGCAATGTCTTGGTAATAATCGTCATCAGACTCATTAGACGAGCTGGGTTTGGGTGGATTTGCATAATAGGTTCCTATGACCAGAGCCAATAGGGCAGTTGCGATTGTTTCATGTAAGATGATTCTCACAGTCATTTTCAGCCTAGAGTGCAGGATAGTGAGGCCAAGCTTCCAGGCGCATTACGAGGATATAGCCACGATATGGGTCCCAGAAACGAAGTCAACGCGAAGACTGTGAACTGGAATTCCGATGGAGGAGACAAGGAAGACGAACTGAACAAATACAGGATATCCAACGGAGATCATCTTTTTCTGCAAACCAGAGGAGTTGCAGATGTATAGGCAGCCAACAGCAAGGTAGCTAGGCTATTAACTGAATGACCAGCGATGCAACGGCATATCTATAACTATCACTGAGATTGTTGTCGGCGCTAATATATTGAATACGATAAAGATATATGTAGGCAAACATGGTGACAAAGAATAGGGTAGTTACCATTACAACATGTAAGAATAATGGTGCGTGCTCTTTCTTCTTCGAATGGGTGAAGAAGAAGAAACACGCGTGAACTACAACGACAAATTAAGGCAGCGGAGCGCCAGGCTACTGCCAAGTGCCAAGCTAAGCATATGAAGGTTCCAAAACGAGTGGGACCCGGGCAAAACATGGTGCACGTTGGTCGGACCATGTACAAGCAATTTTTATCCAATGTGTGTACAAACTTCACAGTAGATACTAGATACTACACAAGTATATATATCCACGACTCTATCGCCTAACCAATCAAGTCCACTCAATCCAACTTCAATTTTCGTCGCCACATATATCTTTATTTACGACTAAGGAGTGGCAAAACTTTCCACTTGTTATACAACATTAAATGTTTTTGTTTAATTCGTTTGGTGAAAGCCACCTCTCTCTCTCTCTCTCTCTCTCTCTCTATACACAAATAATTGGGCAAGAAAGACGACATATATGTTTTTTCAAAGGGCAGCAAAAGTTTTGCTACAAAATATATTAGAAGAAAAATAAAAACAAGAGTTTACCTAGTTTTTTTAGAGAAACTGGACCTTGAAACCGTACAATTAGATGTGCAACAACTCACCCGGAACAACTCCAACAAAGAGGCCGACCACACACCACCACTGATCCACTACTCAGATGGCCAAGACATAACACAATGAACAGCATCTGGTCAACTGCCGACTAACCATCACTGCTCTCTTGGCCATGTAACTCTGACAACATAAAAAAACACCTCACAACTGCACTGACCACAACTAACACGCAAAACGCTTCAACGACCACAACAACTCACTAAGCTAAGAAAACCCACCATGCACGCCTAATCAGCAACAACCAATCGCAGAGCACCAAAGCCAAATCTGAAGTTTATGTCCATAGACAACAGCCCATCAATTAAACCCCCAGCTGCATATGAATACTTTCATCAAGCCACTAACTGCTCTGGAATATTTCCATATTCCACATTGGTTAGCTGGCCCCCTCTTCTTGCTTTTTTGTTGCCCCACTTCAATTAGTGTTGTGAGGGCATCCATCTTCGCCTTGGTGAGAGTGGACGCTTGAAATATTGTGCAAAAAAAATCAAATTGGTTAGCTCCCCCTTGTGTTGTTGATGGCGATAAGTCTCCCAATTTTATCACAAGTAACTCCTCTGCAACTTGGATTGCTCCTTTTCCTTCTGTGGTCTAGGATTTCTTCGCTAACCTACTGCTTTTACGTTGTGGGGTATTGATAGAGGGTCTTAGTGGTGGTGGGGTTTGAGGTGGTTCAAATGTCACTACTACAGCAGGCCTATCACAACCTGTTGGTAACCCCCATCACCGCCGGTTTTGGGCCTCGGCGGTGAATTGTCTAGGGTGGTGGTCAAGGTCATCACCGACGGTTCACAACTGGCTGCGATAATATACTACACAGCCGCTTTGGACTAAGATCCGCCTATGTACCGGTCATGAGCACCATCGCCTTGAGGTATGAGCCAGTATGTGTAAGTGCCATGATCATTGTTGCGCAGTAGTATGATCTGGCATTGATGATCCTATAGTCGGTGCGGTTTAGTAAACAATTGGGCGGTGATGATCTATTGATCCCCGCCAAGATCATCGTTGCACCAGCGGTGTTTACGATTGCTTCACCATCGATTAGTGGTACAAATCCGATGGTGATGAGCTTTTTATCAGCGATGACGAGTGGTATGATGCGCGGTGATGACCAAACGATCGATAGTGGTTAAATGCATAACCGACGGTGATGGAATGGTACTGCATCAAGTTTTCATAGTATATTTATTAATTCAGATGGACCTTAATAGCTTCATGAACACACCATAGAGATATAACCATCAAATCCATACATATCATGTCCACAAATAAGTTTACTTGTTACAATAACAATTCACGCTAACACAAGCTACCTTTTTGATTACATAACAAGGCACTGATCTCTATAGACTTACATAGAAAAATCGAGCTAGCTGTGCTCTAGCTATGTGCCACTAGTGCCTACAAGACAAAATGAATATAATTAGTGCATCCTTCAGATTGGTAGTCAACACACCATGGAACCTCTCCTCTTGATCTCTGAAATAATCCTTACCAAAGACTCCTTTTTGGGCTCGTAGCATGGTATTATTCAATTCGGAGCCATATCAGCAAATTTGTTGAAAAGCAATCAGGGTGGGTATTATGTTTTAACCGACAAATCGGTTTGGTTTGTTCCGTTGTTGCAAACTTCAGTTTCCAAAAATCATCAACCGATCGGTTTTCTATAGAACCAGTTTTCTTGGTTTGTTTTTTCGGTTCCACCGAACCAACTGAAGCCAGCACAAACAAGAAAAAAATGGAAGGGAGAATAGCTGTCGCCCACAGCCGCGATACCCCGCTCGGTGTTGATGGTCATTAACACCTCATTTTATACCATCAACCATGCCTATATTGATGATATAAATGACATAAACCATAGTCATAGGGCTTACTTCTAACCATTTCCACAAGTTGTGATGATTATGTGAGTGTAGGAACAATGTGGCTACATACATGGTAAAAACACTTCATCAAATACCCATTTTGACTATTCCATGTCGAAGAGCTCTTCGAGATACATGAAATCGAGTTTTGGTTCACCCAATTCAGAGTCCGAACGACAAAGTTATGCCTTTCGGAAGATCGCAAGACGGGCCGGGCTAGATTTGGACACTGGAGGGCGTCGGGCGACCCCCTTGGGCATCGGGCCACGTGGACTTGTGTCCAATGGCTACCAAACTTGGTCCAGGGCCTCTACATTCAACTAAGAGCCGATGGGAAGCGTTGTTCACCACATAGGCACAATTGGGGGTTCGGGTAACCCCAAACAAGGTGGGCCAAGCCAACAAGAGCCCATAACCGATGAAGGGAAAGTCGAAACTCGACCAAACTTCGTACCCACACTTTGTAGAACCGTATATGAGTGCACCGCCTCAAGATCAATAGCAAAGGGCTCCGGGGGCGTTAGGTGACGGCCAAGGTGCAGCAAACCGCCTCGAACAAGGTCGGTGGGCCATCAACCGCCATTGGGAAAGGTGGTGAGATGGAATGTCGGCCGACGCCCAAGGAAGTCGCCCGACCCCACTTGGAGGCTCCATGTAACACCCTGTGTTTTGCATCCTAATAAAAATCACTAAAAATTTGAACTTTTTAGAAATTTACTACAAACTAAAAACATGAAGTAGTTTAGTTTCTACAAAACAATAACTAAAACATTTTTTTTCAAAAACTCTTGCATCAAAAACATACCACATGCATTCATGTTTGGAATGTTTGATTGGTTGAATAATTGTTTGCCCTAGAATTTATTTGGCACCAAATATCCTTCCTTGACACTCCCCTCCCAATTCCTTTGAATAATTCCTTGGAAACCCTCCTTGACATTTTGTAAACCCTCCACCTTTCAAACCTTTCAAATTCAAATTTGAATCCATTCAAACTCCTTCAAAGTTTCTCTTTAAAATTCTAGGAAATAGAAAAGGCTTTCATAAAGGGAAAAAGTCCCATGGGCTCAATCTCCCGCTCCCCCTCCCTTCTGGCCCATGGACCCGGCCACCTCCCTCCTCTTCCCTTCCCCCGCCTGGGCCGGCGACGGCCACCTGGCCCAGCCAAGCACAATACGAGGACATAGCCATGATATTGGTCCTGGAAACGAAGTCAACACGAAGACTTTGATCTGGAATTCCAATGGAGGAGACAAGGAAGACGAACTGAACAAATGCAAGATATCCAGCGGAGATACAGCCTGTTCGCTTGCTCGTAAACGATCGTAAATTTCCAGCTGGGAACAGTGTTTTTCTCTCACACCAAACCAGTCAGCAGTAAATAATCCACGATACGATACGGCCTCCCGAACAGGCTGATAATCTTTTTCTGCCAACGAGAGGAGTTGCAGATGGTAAGGGCAGCCAAGGGCAAGGTAGGCTATTAACTGAATGACCAGCGATGCAACGGCATATCTACAAGTATCACTGACAGTGGCGGAGGACGAAAAAAATTTAAGGTAGGGCTAAGTCGATAACATAGACAGTAAAGTAATATCTCTCAAAATGGTATACTAGACGTGGTGATAGTCAAGCAACAAATATATAAGTAAAAACATTTATGATAAATCTCCTACAACTAAAAAGAACAAAGTGTGGACAGTTTTTGGTGCGACATTTGTTTTGGTTCATCCGTCTGCCCACGCCTGCGAT